AGCTGTAACAACTTCACCAACTGTCTGGGTTCCACCCCGAGGATTTCACTGAGAGAACACGTTAGAGGGAATCAGGAAGCAGAAAAAAGGTCACAAATAAGCACCTCAGGAACAATGAAAGCTTTTCTCTATGCAGCAGTGGGAGAGTTGCTAGAAAAACTGGAAAGGTATTAATCAGAAGTGGCTATAAATCCTCTGGAGTTTTGCTCTTATAAAACTCCTCAGAGAAAGTCTTGAAGGAAATGCAGGTCAAAGCCCAAAAAAGCTCTTGATCAGAGATTGCTGGAGGAAAATCTTCCCAGACGCCGTTTAATAGGCAGCAATCACCCCAGGAGTGGGGAAGCCAAGTACGCTTGAAACATGGTTGCAATTCCTAATAGGTCTTGTCACACTTAAGGCACTGCAAGCTCCATCCAACGAACAGCTGAAGCTAGCTGGCGATTCATAAAGCCAACAGTTTAAAGTTTATTATGATGAAAGCACTTAATGACAGCCATCGCTAGGGGCCCATCATTTATAAAGCTGTGCTGAGTATTAGACATGTAGCATGACCACCAATTTTATGTCACAATTGCTACCATAAAATGACCTTTGGTGATTTTTGCTGCATGTGGTGGACAGCTCTTCCTTCACATTAGTGCTCTGTGGCTTTCTTTGCAGACTATTATGCTGTCTAAAGCTTATTTGGCACTGTCGTGAGCCTCAACCCTTGTTATTACCCCGAAGGCCTGTCTAAAAAAAAAAAAAAAAAAAAAAAAAAAAAAAAAAAAAACTCATGCTCTATTACGCCACTCCAATAATTTACAGTTCTTACCAGCCTTGGTTAGCATAATATTTTAATGCAAATATGCTTTACCATTGGATTTTATTTTAAGCACACACACACAAAATTTCCCATGCTTCTGGCTAGCAAAATATCCATTTTATGGGAGTTCACTGAAATCAGCCTCTTATTCCCTGGTCAGGTCTCATTGAATGAGCAGTTTCCTTAAAACATCACCAGAAAAAAAAAAAAGTTACTTAAACTTCTGTTGAGAGAGATTTTTTTTTTTTTTTTAGATCCTATATATGTTAAATCCACCTAAGGCAGAAACACCAGTTCTTATTTCCCTGCATCCAGTCGCAATGCAAATTTACATTTGAGTAACATTATTTAATTAGGCTTTCATTTTTCCACCTTCTCTGTGTAGTTAGCAAATGTTTGAATACACGGCCACTTTACTGCTCCAATGTAAACTGCTGCTAAGAAAGTGGTCTGTCCACGCTACACCACCTTTAAATTGTGTATATAATTTTATAAATGATATAAAATCTGCTTCTAGCCCTGAGGGAAAAAAAAAACCATAAGCATGGCACACTGCAATTTTGGAAGGATTTAAAATATGTGATTTCTGCTGGTACCTACTGTATTGGGTTTTATATAAAGCTTTTTTCAATAAGGTAAATTGTTACATGACAAACTCATCTTCCACCATTATCATCTGCTGTTTGTGTTTAACAACAGGAGTCCCGCTCTAACAAAACTGTTGTAATGGCTGTACAAATTACTCAGCTGAAAGCTTTTCACCAAACAAAACAGTATTAATCAGCAGTTCTTATGAAGGTGCTAATTAAAAACAATTTTCTTCCTCAGTTTGCAATACTAAAGCCATCTTCACTTGCACAGTTTCCAATATACAGCTACTGTATTTGCTCACACTTCAGGCCCTCTATTAACTATTGAATCTCCTATTAGCCATTTTATTACATTTCTGTTTACGAGCTTGTTGACATTTTAAAAGTCACGGTATGATCTGTTTTATCTATTAAAAAATGTATTAATTGAAAAGTCAGGGGGACAAAAAAGGCAAAATACAGACTCCAAATGCACAGACTTTCAGGGCAGAGAACACTGTGAGCATTTAGCCACAGCCTGGAAGGTAAGCTCTCTGGGTAAAATGAAATCTGAGAATTAAAAGTGGCATTTCAGGCTTAATGGTGTGATAAACACTAACAGGCTCCTTCCTAATTTGGAAATAGTCCACTCAGGAAAACATATTTACCCTGCCTAAAATCAGCCTGACTTTCAAATCCATTTTTTCTCTGTGGCATACACTCAACATAATTATGTTTCATACAGCCTGAACTCAGGGGATTTTGATCTGGGATGGGGATGTACCTGGAATCTGGGGGCTGGAGCCCACATCTCGGATCTAAATAGCTTAATGTTTCCTGTGAGTGTGTGTGTGTGTATATGTTTGTACATACACTTTGACTCTCTCCCCCATGTGGGCATTCTGCCCCACCCCCGCAGAGTCCAATGAAAGGTTCTTGCCGGACAATGTGAATGAATTGTCTGGCATAGATTTGAAACAAGTCAAATGCTGACTAAGCACAAAGACAAAAATCCATGGAAGCTGGGTTCGTATTAAAAATCAAAAACCACCTAACCCTCATGAGAAGGTATGTCCCACTTTGGTAGTGGAGAGATGGAAAAAAACACCACCACCTCCTGCCTCTGGTATTAAAACCAGGTTCTTCAGCTGTCAAAAGCAGTTAACTAGTTTAGGACAGACACCTGGCTGTTGAAATAGGGCTCCGGAGGGCAACTAATCCTTCCATTCACTCAGTTAACTGCTGGATCCCCCAATTTGATTCAACAGGTATGCAGTGGTAAATTCAGCCCATACTGAAGCCAAAGGGAAAATCAGCAAGGGGCGGGCAGCTCTTCTCTGAAAACACCCGAGGAACTAGCCAGAAAAGCTTTTATGGCCCTGACAAGTTTTCTGCTGAATACTGAGCACCTAAATTACCCTTCCCTAATGGAACTTACATTTTCATGCTCAGTCAAAAAGCCAACAAAATACACAATTTATACAAAATAGCATCAACCTCTTAGGTAGTCTTTTCTAGCACTTTTATCCCAATTCACAGCATATGTCTTGCTATAAAGTAAAATGTATTTCTTATAACCAACTTGTATGTAGCTATTCATCTCACAGCATTAGAACTGACCATCGGCAATATTAGAAACATTTGTTCATCCAACCAAATCTACTTAGTATGACAAAGGAAAATCATGAGTTTTATCAGAAGATAAAGGTACACAAAGAAGAGAAATATCATTATTTTTAGGATTTCCTAAGCAGACAGGCTTCCTTTCTGAAACAAACACATGCATAATTACATAGGCAATTATGGAATGGGCCATTTCAATTGCAATTGACACAGAGAAATATAAAGTTCAAAAGAAATGTAAATGGATAAACTTTTAAAGCTGGTCTATTTCACTTTTCAATATCGGCATTCCATTAAACTTTGGGAAAATAAAAACTGTAAAATTATTCAATAATATAGAACATTTCTTACAAACTTTCAAAGAACCTGGTCTAGAGATATTTCCAGGTGAGGATCCCATGAAGAACAGATCTATGAAACCCTTTATATCATATAGGAGATTCTCTAGGTTTCAATTACATAATAAGTGAATTTCCTTACTAGGTATCTCTTGGTAGCAACAGTTCAATTCTGAAACACTGTTCTCAGATATTTTTAAAAAATGCATTCCTAGTTTACTTTTAAAATACAGTATCTCCCAGAGACATAAACACTGGATTTCTCTACCCACAACACACAAATGCAAATTGAATTCTTGCCAATTCGTGTATTTTCTTCAGAGAAAAAGAAAACATTCTCATAATCCTGCTGTTCCATATTTAAAAAGAAAAAAGAATAGACCATCTTAGGTGCTACTACAGGGATGCGTGGGTTTCTTTGTCTGGCAGGTTTAGTTGCAGGTTTTACAGAGGAAATATTTTTGCTGTATTTTCACCAGTATAAATGGAATGGCTTGTGTTGCCTTTTAAAACATGCCAAATTCTAATTTTTAAACAAGAAAATATGAAGCCAGTGTGCAACCTATACAGTCGCCAAAGGAGAGCTGCCACTAGCTGAACTACTCAGCTAAATGGCTGGTTTGCATTGCCCTGGTCTTTATCTAGCACTGAGAATAGACTGCTGTTTTATCCAAAGAGGAATAAATTGCTGTTATTGTGATGTTAGCCCATCACTTGGCATTGCAATTCAAGTTTTTGTGAGAAAGAAATGTATGATCTAACTGCGACTTGACCTATGCCTTCTGAGATCCATCTAGGTGCTCTAATGGAGCAGAAAAAGTGGTGAATACAAGGACATGCAAACTGATGGTGAAAAATTTGTTTGATGATAGAAGTGAGCAGAGAAGACATTTGAGAGTCGCTGCTTTTATGAGAGCTAAGTTTGTTTAACATGCAAAAGGATGGACCCCCAGTCTCTCACCTATCACTTTAATTGTATCACACTGAATACATGTTTTTGCCTCTTCTAAAGATATGAGGATATATAGCTAACCTACTAATGACATTACTGCTAAAGTGGGCACAGATGATTCCTTACAGATAAACATCTGAATTTCCACAAAAGGCATTAGAGCATCTCATGGATGCACTGGGCAAGGATAAGCTTGGGTTCCCTGCAGAAAAGTCATTCTCTCTTAATCCTAGGTAGCACCTATTAAATGTTTACCATACACTTGAATCACAGCATATAACAATATATACTTACTTTAAATAAGATAATTGTGTGATTGAGTTTTTAAAAAACTCCCCCTGGTTGCAATCTAGTTTATCAACCATTTATTCAAAATTTCTCTGGGAAGGACCTATTTTGAAAGAGGCCTGGAGAACAGCAGCAGTCAGATTTAAGCCCTGATAAAGGCTCACTTTTCATTCATAGTCAGAGCCTAAATGTGCTCTTCTTGTACCTAAACAGATAATAAGCACTCAGCACACTCCCCCTCCTTGACACAGCACACTGAGACTAATCACACATAATTGGGGAGGAGGAGCAGAGGGCTGGCCACGCTATTGTGTCCAGAGGACAAACGGTCAGTTTATGAGGCTTTGGGCTGATGTAGTCATTTCTTATACGTCTATAGGGGAAAAAAACATACTGTTTAAAAGGAAAAAAAGGAGAGACAGGGATGGAGAATGGGATGGCAGATTTAATACAATTAATTGGAGGGAGATAAAATGATATGCTTTATTTTTTTAACCAGGAAAGAATCATGATATTTGCTGGGTTTACTGATTAAAAACTACCACCACCGAAACAGAACAAAGACCCCCCCAAAAAAAAAAAAAAAAAATTTAAGGAGGGATGGGTATCATCAAAAGAAATTCTCAATTAGAGGGAAAAATATTTAGGTCGTTCACCAGTCAAATTCAAGTCACAGATAGGCAGCTTATACATATTTAAAGACAAACAAAGGTTTAGGGCAGGAAGAGCAACAAGCAGAGTGTGAAAAGAGGCGGGGGGGAGCTGGAGAGGGCAGCTGGGGAATAACGTGGGTGAGGACAGGTGGAGGCCATAGCCCACACGTGAAATGCTGCAAAGGGGGCAGGCGGGCGATTATACCCATTACAGATTGCTGTTTTTGTAAAAATATTCCCTGTGCACTTGATATTTTTCTTCGTCTTTGAGAAGCTTAATCTTCTATCCGTGTTTGGTTAAAAGAAGCAGAAGCGGGTAATGAAGGTTTTCTTCATATATGTCCGGGTTTTCCTTTTTCAACTGAAAACAATAATAGAAAAAAAAAGGGTAAGGGGACTCCAATTAGGGATCTTTACCAGTCATTATTCATGTTACGTATCATGACTTTTACACCAAAATATATAGTTCTGGAAAAATAAATCACAGAAAAGAAACTCAAAGTGGTTCTCAGTGGCACTAGTGTCACAATTCTATATATTAATATGGGGATTGTTTTTGGTGGGGGTGGGTAGGGCGTTTTTTCATAAATACCCCAGCTGCATTTTGACCTGTATAAACTGTGAGGCACTTGACCGAAGGCAGAGCTGGGGCTCATTCATCGTCACCTGACTGGTCATTTGACACAAGTCTCTGCTCTCTGTGCCCTCTGCCTCTGACCAATGCCACACTATTCAGGCAGGTGGGCATTTCACATCACTGCCTGGAGTCCGTGGCAACATCTGGGCACAGGCAAAGGCTTGTGGGGCCCAAGACACTGCAAAGGCTCTCCAGGTGCTTCTTAGGGGTTTTAACATTAATCATAAGTCACTCAAAAATTCTTTTCTCTGAGGAGAACATATTCCAACAATTAGACTAGTGACATTCCTGTCGATCCTGCGCAGGGAGGTTCTGAGGATCTTTCTGTGATTTTAAAATCCAGTCAGGTTTCTCACGTCTAAAGTACACTTTCTCTTCATTCAGCTGGAATAGTTTTAAAGTTATATTTACATTTATCCTAGCAACTAATCATTTGCGATTTATAAAGACAAAATTAATATTTTTGAAGTTGGAATTCATGAGCCAATTATTAACTCCTTTTTAGATTATAATAGTAAAAAAAATTTCTTTTAATTATACATGGAGCCAATTCCTTTATTGTTTAAATTAGTCAAACACCACCCACCCCACCCACCCTAAAGCAAAATGAATGGCCTCAACATCACACTCTCCCAGGGTGGTCCCTCTGGGGCATGTTAACTTGAATCTTTTCGAAGTGCATGTTCCTTCTGAATCATATTCCCAAATCGTGACATGGACAGACTGTCACTATTAAGGACAGGAGTCATGAGCCCACTTCCCCTTTTCCACTGGGGAACGTAAAGCTAATTCAGCCTTTACTTTCCAATCCACTTTCCCAAGAACTGACGGGGGTACAGTCACTGAGGTGACTTCATTCTGTTTTCTTAGATGGAGTTTGTTCTGTGTACAGATGATTTGTTGTCTATTTAGAAAGATCCTTGTGGATTTTTGCTGCTACCAAAGTAGTGAGAGTGTTAAGCCTAAACACAGGTCCTCCAACCTTACTATTTAGTCTAATTTTAGAAAATGCCGAGAAAATGGCTTCACCAACTTCCCTGTCCATACCCACTGACCAGGACTTCCCAACTGTACATACCTTTGTTGCCAGTTGCCCTAGTGATAGAGGGAGCCCACTGAAGTATTTTATAGAGGGAAGAGAGGGCCAAGCTAGCTCAATTCTTTCCTCAGGGATTGGGGATAAGGGAAAGTTGATTACTCAGTGGCAGTCAGCTGACCTACTCACTCACAATGCACTAATATACAGAGACTCAAATGAGCTCTTTATAAAGTCCCTGAGGTAATATGTGGGATAAATAATTCTTCTGTAAATATGGGTTAGAAATCACTTTTAACTTGGATTCTGTGCTGACCTCTGGAGGCCAAAGCAGAGGCTTCGTTGCTGAAAGGGGCCAGGGGCCAGCCCCGTCTTGCCTGTGAGACCTTTCCACAATGGGGAAGAGCTGACAACCCTCAAAGGCAACACTATAACCCAGCCCCAGATCATTTCGGAATCAAGCAAGTCTGTTACGTGAGGGTACTTGAGCACACACAAAGCGCTTAGCCAATACTTGCTTCGATGGGGGAATGTTATGAGCTTTAAGAATAATTCCATTTACCCAGGCTGTACTTCCTTGCCCAATTAATAATTACAATTTTAACAAATATCAAAAGGCACCTTGAAAGAAAATGAACAAAAAGCAAATCATGAATAAAACAATTTTTCAATTTCATAGGTTAAAACAGGGTCTTTGAGGACTAAACTAAATTATATAGCTGCTATTAGTAGCATTATGCTTTACTTCATAATTGGATGTAACACGCTCAGCCTTACTACGGCGCGAACAGCAGCAGCACGAGTGGAGTTCAGACTGTTTACCCTTTACAGTATCCACAATTATCAACAGCACACCACACAGATTATAAGCACCAGCCACTTGTAATGTGGCATTTTGAATAGATAAGGAGAAGTGCAATATGGCCGTGTTTTTAACACAATGTACTGACTTCACAGCCCAGCCCAAGCCTATTTTCAGAGCAATGTACAAAAATACAGAAAAATAAACACTTCAGGGTGGTTTTGCGAAAGTTAAAAAAAAAAAAAAACCACGGCATGTAAAATTATATTTCAAAGAACATTTGCATGAATGAGAGTATTTTTACCAACTAGTGTCAAGCCAGCTGTAATCTCGAAGTCACATCTCTGCCTTACAAAACGATTTGCTATCTAACTATCCGAAAGGTTTTGAACCACACTATGAGGGCAATGGATTTCATTCTCAGCCTTGAGGAGACCAAAACGCTGGGGAGGAGAGGGAAGTGTTTTATTTTTCTCCCCTTGCAAGGATGGACTGAAAAGCAGTATTTTTAAAACATACTACACCTTTGGCTGCCTGGTTCCCGAGCACACTGGCTGCATGGTGTGGGCACAGTTTAACAAAAGCACTGGCAGAAAAGTGCAGAATGGCACCGTTTTGATTACAGGCTTGCTTTTTAACGGAAATAAAATTTCACAGTTAACAATGAGAGGTGAAAAGTTTAAGAGGCAAAGCTGTTCCTCCTGATCACTGACTGTTAATCAGCTTCATGGGTGGTTGCCTAAATCTGTAGATTTTTTTTTTTTTTTTTTTTACCTTGCACTACTGCCAAGTAACTAATTTTTTCCCCTGTTGTAAGAGGAGGAGTGAAAAACTCGGCTTCGAAGGCAGCTGTGTATGAGTGACGCGAGGCACTAATGCAGAGGGCAAAATTAAAATTCATGAATCTCTTCACGACCATTTGTGTAACAAGATTAAGACGGGACAGCGGAAAAGAGCGGCATTATCAGGCGTCTTACAGTCCTCCAGCTGGTTACGCTCTATTCCAACACAGTAGGGCTAAGAGGATAACACGCAGCCTGAAGGAAAACGCCGCTCCTCCATTGGGGAGCAGCGCGTCCCAGGGACGAGGGGGCTTTGGCCAGAGATGGAGAGGAAGAAAGCTGATTGCCGCTCAAGATGGAAAACTTTTAAGCCCTGGCTATTAGCACGCGGCCAACAAAAGCCGCCAGGGTGGAGGCTCCCGGCGGCCGCATCCCGGAACCCCGGGCGGGCGGGCAGGGCTGGAGGGGGCAGGGGTGCTGCCTTGGGCCTCCGCCTTCGCGCCCTGCTGCAGGGCATGGGGCTGGGCGAGGAGCAGCGACGCTGCCCGCTCCCTCCAGCGTGGCCCGCGGCTCACTGCTCCGGCCTCTGGGCGAGCTCCTTCTCCTGCAAAGGAGCACAACTGCACGTGCCAGCCCGGTCAGCACACAGTATCCCTGCTGTTGAAGCAGGCACAGGAGGGGCCAGTGGCATTCTTTTGCTGGAAGCAGAATACCACACCAGCTGAAACAGCTCTCATTATTAAAAATATATATATCTTGGGTGCCCGTTTATACCTTTTATCCAGGATGTGCCAACTCTGCAGAATATTCTCCTAGGGTTCTACACTCTCCCCACCCCCAACAATGAAGAGAACTATTTCTTAGTCCGATGTACCAATGTCAGCAAACTGAATTTGACTTTTCAGCAATTATGACCAGATTTATGTGCTTCGCTTAGCAGGAGTAGTGTACAACGTTGGAAATAAAAAGAGGAGGTGTGCTGGCCACCAGGAGCTAACACTCTAAAGTTCTAGACAAAGGAGAGGTGGGCGTGCCTGGCATGTCCCAACACTTCTCTGATCTTTCAGGGAGGAGACAGAGGGTATCAGGCACAATGCTGAACATCTTTGCTGGTGCAGAAACCCACGCCTTTGCTCTCCTGAGCTGTCACTGGGAAACTAAAAGCATTTGTTGTTCTAGGGGGAAAGTGAATGGCACGACACTGAAGCAGCTGTCAGCTGATCCTTGTAGTTCTAGCCCGACCCTGGAGAGAAAGCCACATTATTCCTTTGGGTGGAGGAGTCCAGGGAGCCAGGAGGGACCCTTTTCCTACCAGGTAAAGCCCCGCTTTTTTTAGGGGAAGGGGTTGAAAAGGGGAAAACATCATTCTAGGCCGGTATGATCTGAATCACATACCGTTCTGTTTTTATTTTCTGATTGTGAGCAACGGGCCTGACTCCACCAGCGAGAGGATGTGATTTAACTCTTTCAGTTCACAAAGCACCATTTTTCCCCAGAGACTAAATGGAACCTTAAAGATTCAAATAAATAAGTTCATTTCCAGAAAGTGAGAATTTCTTTCTCTTGCTTGGAAGATCAGATTAATTTTGCATATATTTTTCCAAAAGCCAACACACTTCTACATTATATTATAGTCCTGGGCAATAAAGGATGCTGTTCACATTGTCCCAGGAGAAAATTAAGGTCAGGCCTTTATTTTTCTGCAGTTACAACTTGTGAAATCATGACAAGTTAAAGTCTCTTGCCAAGGTCAGACTAGCTCAGTGAAGGGAGATATCCGTAAGGCACAAAATTACTGAAATAATACATGTTATACTAGTCACTGTGACATGTATTAGCAAACGTGAGAATCCTAAAAAGTTTTCAGTGAAATACTTGCCTCTCAGTGTCCTATATTGCTCTATACCTATAAATAATAAAAAGGCTGATAACATTGCTTTATGTAAGCAGGCTTAGAAATCACTCTCAGATAAGTGCTTTTGACCTAAATCTTGTAGCGCCTCGATCTGACATATAACCCCACAACTGTGAAATTCTGTATGAGATTTAACAGTCTCAAACTGCCAACTGACCCAGCTATAAAGCAAACAGAGATAAAGATTTACAGTCCAACATGATACAATTAGACATTCACCTTCTATTTATTTCAGTGCGGCTAAGCATTTAACCTACTTAAAAGCTGAAGGTTTTTCATTAAAATATAAATGCATGTTTATCATTCATTCTATGCCACCTCCCCTTGCATCCTACAAATTAGTCTATTATGAATGAAAAGATTAGTTTGTTTCAGAGAAAGGAGTAAACAGGAACGGTTTCTGTAAAATCCTTCTAGACATGCAAAGATAAAAGATGGCTTTACCACACAAAATAATCAGATACAAATAGCTGTTCAGAAGCAACACACCTAAGGAGTACTTTAATCAAATATTTAGGTTACCTGCCAAAAAGACCATGATCTCTTCAAAATGCAATGCGGATTAAAGTGTTATCTAACACAAGCAGAAAACTAACCTTGGAGTGGAAGTTTGAAATGTGTTCATCATAATTTTCATGTCTTTGGATAGAGAAACCAGCTTTTTCAGCTAGATTGCAAAACTGGTTTAAAGTATTCCCTCGGCGTGGGGCAAATACCATTGCTTTCCCCTAGAACAGTAAAAAGGAAATTCACACATTTTAAAACTGGAAGGTAACCAAACATAACAGACATTGGTCAAAGCATTTAATGTACTGCCGTCAAGTAGAAAAACTCGATTGTTCTTGAGATGTCTACGCAGGATGGGCATTCACAATGAGAAAAATTTCCAGGAGAGATATATATTGAATAAGAAAAAAAAAAAAAAAAGATTTCACATCCAAATGGCCAGTTGCTGTGTTTTATCTTTTTCAAATAATGCTTATAAAAAACAAAATGTGGTTGAAAGCTGGTGTTCCGAACAATATGCATTGTCTCAGGTCCAATGGGTTAAGCCATTGACTAGATTTTAGAATAACTGGTCCAGGGCAATGCCACTCACCTTGTGACTCCTTAGCACATGCCAACACTTCCCCAACACAGTCCCGGGGCATGTGACAACAGATGCTTACATCTGCTAGTTTATTGTGCCCTGAAAATTCAGTACCAAGAAATCCTTCATAGAGACAAGTAACCACAATTTCTCTTGGAGAGTTTTCACATTTCAGTCCTGCCCCTAGCCTTTTCTGTGACCATGCTGTCAGAGAGAGGCTCCAGAATCTTGGTTTCCAACTTTATTGAATCCTTCATAATGGTCATCACTATAGCAAAGCAGTTCCTCATAGTATTCACATGATTGCTTTTCAAAGAAAGTGGTATAATGAGGGTAAACAGGCTTTTCTAAATAATCCACACAATCTTATGTGATTGTTGCAGTGGGGAGAATGGGAGGACCTGAATAAAGTATGTACTGGATTTCAGAAGACCATCTGACATGAAACTTCACAATGATCATTTGCTAACTATTGGATGCATGTGGATTTTTCCTCCCTCTCAGATGTGTACAGAATGGCCAAACTTCAGACTCTTCTTTCTTTTTCTTTTTTTGTAAATAAAGATGGCTATATGCTTCTGTTACTCTCAAGGTTACACTTCACCTCTGTGAAATGCCTCTTTAGGTTTTGAGGGAATCATGAAAATATATCTGAGTTTCTTATGAAGGGTGGTTTATCATTCACACTAGCCAGCCATTTCTTGAGCACCTGGTAGTCAGACACTGGGCATTCATATAAATATTCTCTCCTTTAGTCTTTAAGCCACCCTATGTTGTAGGTATAGTGTAGCATTCATATTAACATCATCTCCTTTAGACTTTTTTATTTTTATTTTTTTTTTTTTGGAGACAGAGTCCCACTCTGTCACCCAGGCTGGAGTGCAGTGGCACGATCTTGGCTCACTGGAACCTCTGCCTCCCAGGTTCAAGTGATTCTCTTGCCTCAGCCTCCCGAGTAGCTGGAATTACAGGCACAGTCCACCATGCCTGGCTAATTTTTTTTTTTTTAATTTTTAGTAGAGATGGGGTTTCGCCATGTTGGCCAGGCTGGTGTCGAACTCCTGACCTCAGGTGGTCTGCCCACGGCCTCCCAAAATGCTGGGATTACAGGTGTGAGCCACCACGCCCAACCCTCCTTTAGTCTTTAAACCACCCTGTGTTATAGGTATTATCAACTCTGTCAGTGAATGATCAGAAGCCCCAGCACCAATGCTCTCTCCACTCCACTACATGTCTTCTTATTAGTAACAGTGACGACAATGATAATGATAGCTACCACTGTGCTAGGTGCTTCACAAGTCCTCCCTTTAATCCCCTCAACGATCTTCTCAACAACCCTGTACAGTAGACATTGCATTTTATAGATGACTTAACATGCAGTGAAAGGTTTGAAGAATATAAGGAGGAACTGTGGCAGAAAGGACTTTGGATTTAAGGGGAGTCTCTACCATTAAACAGCTGTGTCACCTCAGGACAATCTGAAAATCATTATAGAACTTTTGAGTTAGAGGGAACCTTGGAGATAATGTAGTCCAATCTCTCCATTTTGTAGATAAGAACCTTAACCCATCCTCGCTGATCCACTGAGTTTTCTCATCCATCAAATGGGAGGAACAAAGCCTGCCCTGCCATTTTCCCCCCAACAAATTGTGAGGATCAAATGCAGAATGTGAAAATAATCAGAAAGATTATACTGATGTAAGATTAGAAAGCTCTACACCACCTAACAGTGCTCTAAAAATTCTATAAATCCCCTCTCCCTCTCCCCTTCGCCCTCACTTACCTGTAAGAAAATATGCGGCTACACTGTCCTGGGCATCAAGTGTGTTTTCATACTGTGTTTACATCGGCCTGTACACACGCAGGCACACAATTAGAGCAGCACCAATCATGCCACTACACTTAAGGTTCTGTCAGCTTTTTCAATATTAATTGCTATTTTCAGGCAGTTTTCAAACTTAGCAGCAAAAATTCATTTTTATGTGAAACTAGATATAATACACGGTCTCAGCAGGACAGCAGAAGTCTCCATTAGAAAAAAAACCGACAACAACAGGGAATGCTGGTAGGTCATTTTAGTCATTTCTAAGAGCTGGTTGCCATTCCGGATTTTTGAATAATGGAAGCTGTTTTATTTAAAAGTCACCTGCAAAAAATTGTCTCGCAGTAACACCTGAAGAGTCGGTTTTTAACAGCTATTGTCTAAGCTGCATATCATCATGTTCACAAGGTTACAGGGTTCTAGGTTGGGCTGATCCTTGCATTGACAAAGCAATGCATCTCCACATGCCTTGGTTGGGGTGAGCTGTAAGGGACAGCAGCTAAGCATGTGACAGCACTCTCTGCCTAAACATCCCTTTCCTCCTTCAGCTCTCAGTTGACCCGTCCTTCCCTAACCACACTGTCCAGAACGCAGCCCCTGTCCCATCACTCTCCAGTCCCTCGCTGGGCTTCATTTTTGTTCTTAGCACTTATCACCAGGGACACACACTGTATCCTTGTTGGTTATTGCCCTGTCTTCTCTGGCTGGAATGCATACTCCATGACAACAGGATCTTCTAATGTTTTATTCACTACATGTTCTCAGTGCCTAGCACATAGTAAGCACTCAGTCAATATTTGATGAGACACTGAACTAAATCCAGAAGTTGAGTAATCTAAAAAATTTGAGATTTTGGGAATTCAAAAGCCATGTTCTATTGCTTATTCATTTGAAAAGATTTTCCCAAGAAGCTTTGACAGAGTCAGCTGCTATGATGGGGTTTTAGAGAGCAGCATTCTGTGCACAACGCTGTACCACGAGAAAGAGAAAGACTGGGCAGTAGTTTTAATCTCTAACTACTCGGGAGTTTGTTTTCTTTTTCAGTTCATTGAATACAGACACCTTTAAGATGTGGACTAATAGTTAGGATGGAAAATAGCCCATCATCCATTCATTCACTGAGCCGTGCCAGCATCTCCCCCTCCCCATAATGAATGGTTTTAGAGGACCCCAGTATCCCCAGGGGAGAGAACACGTCACAGGTGGAACAGTACAATCAGAGGAATATGCTTTACAATTTCAGCTGCACAAATCAAAACAAGAAAAGGAATATGGATTTCAAATTAGCCCATCACTTTAGAAAAATTATTTTCAATTTGCCAAAGCACAACTTTCTAAGCATTCCATTGCAGAATTATTTTAAACTCAGAATGAATACTCAATTGAATGTAACACTTTGACTGATGAGCAGAAATTTCAGAGAATTCATTTATTCCTGGAGAGAAGAGGGAGAAGTTCCACTAAACAACAGTGATACTGTTTACCTTGTGAGCTCAGTTGTTGTTATTTTGCTAGACTAATCTATACTTATATATTAAAGGGATTGTACTTCTGGAAAAATATCAGTATGCTGCAGATTTATTTTAACAGGAATATGCTATGCCAACAAAATGCATTAGGGGAGGGAGACCAAGGCAGAGGAAGCACTATTCTCACATTTAGTTTATTCCTTTTTCATTTCCAGGCAACCAAACTAATAATACCAATTCCATGTTTAAGCGTATGCTTAGTTTCTATTTCTTTGTTGTCGTTTATAAAGACGAGGTCTTGTTATGCTGCCCAAGGCTGCTCTTGAACTCTTGGTCTCAAGCGATCCTCCCACCTTGGTCTCCCAAAGTGTTGGGATTACAGATGTGAGCCACTGTGTCCAGCCTATTTTCTATTTCTTTACCTAGTTTCTGAAATTCTGCCTTCACTTGCTTCCTCTCCTGGCATCTCTCTCAGTCTCTCTCAGTCTCCTTTTGTAGCTTCTCTTCTCTGACCTGTCTTTTAATTGTCAGTGGTCCTCAGGGCTCTGCCTACTTTTTCATCATGTTCCATCTAATTCTAGGCAATTGTACTGATGTCCATGGCTTCAGCTATCACCTATACACCAATAACTCCTAAGTCTGTAACTATAGCTTTCACCACTGCCCAGGGTTCACACCTACATTTTCAAGTGCCTACTACATCTCTGCATGTGGGTATTCTGAAAATACCTTTAATCCATTTTGTCCAAAATAAAACTCAATATTCTTGACTGCTAACCCCTGCCCTTCCCAGGGCAGTACCCATCAAATGCAGCACACACATACACATACACTCAGATATGCAAGCTGAGTACCTCTTAGGTACCAAGCACTTTCGTATCTGTCACTTTCGAAATAAAGCTGGAAGCTTGGGAACCACGGCATTGCCCTTCGAGACCTCTCAGTGCCACATCCCCCTACCTGCATCACTGTCACTTGCTTCACTTGCTGCAGGTGGTTCTCAAACTGTGTTCTGCATTGCTTCAGGGGTGGCCTGGAGGGATGAGGAAGACCAAGACAGAGGAAGTACCAGTCTCACATTTAGTTTAAAGCTGTATCATTTTTATCTGTTTTGTAATTGGGGTGCTGGCTAAAAAGTTTTGACCAAAGCATTCTGCCATTTAAACAGGGTTTGAAAACCTTGACTTAGGTCCCACCTTCTTGGGACGGCAGGCAAAGCCCCGCGTGACCTACCCCATGCCTTTATTGCAGCCTCATCTCCTGCCACTCCCTCATACACATCTTGGGCTCTAGTCAGGCCAACCTCAGCACAGCCCCCATCTGTTCCTTTATGTATCCTGTGTGTTCAAACATGCACATGCTCCCCTGGGGTGGAGTGCCTCTCACCTCCAGTTCTCTGTCTGCCTGGTTAGTCTTCCTCATCCCTCAGCACCCAGGGTAGACTCCCTGCCCTTGTGATGCCTTTGCTGACTTCTCTGGCCTCCATACTGTGCCTCCTCCCCAGTGAACCGCCTCCACTCCCTGTCCCCAAGGGTTGCCCACACCTCTGCTGTGCCAATCACACACCACCAGGTGATCGTCCCTTGCTTGTCTCTAGACTGTGAGCCCCTCCAGGGCAGGGTTAGGTCATATCTCAGTCTATCCCGGGGGCCTGGCACAGTGACTGGCATCTGAGAGGCACTCAATAAATGTTTGCTGAATGGTACTCTCAGGGAATATCCATTCGATGTCCTCTTCTAAATTTTCAGGTCTTCACTAACTCCTAAATGGATGATTCCAAGTGGATATTGATCCACACTGGACCTCTGAGGAGCTTCATTGCTTTCAAGCTCTCCCTTACTCCAATCTACCCTTTATGCCATGGGCAGAGTGATCTTTCTAGAAGGTACACCTGACCACACCACTGCTCAAAAACTTTCAATGGCTCTCCATTGCCATACAGTAGAGCCTGGTCTCTTCATCACAGTATTCTTGGTCATTCATAACTCTTTTTTTTTTTTTTTTTTTTTGAGACGGAGTCTCGTTCTGTCACCCAGGCTGGAGTGCAGTGGTGCGATCTCTGCTCACTGCAAGCTCTGCCGTCTGGGTTCACGCCGTTCTCCTGTCTCAGCCTCCCGAGTAGCTGGGACTACAGGCGCCTGCCACCACATCTGGCTAGTTTTTTGTATTTTTTAGTAGAGACGGGGTTTCACCGTGTTAACCAGCATGGTCTTGATGGCCATTCATAACTCTTTAACTTCATCTTCCTGCCCTTCCCCAACCCTAACCGCAAAACCACAGACACTCTTACACTCCAGCCAGAGCAAACTTCTTGTTGATCCCAAAACACATCATGATTTTTCTTACTCCACAGACTCAAAGTGCCCTTCTTACTGTTTAAGACCAAAGTCAGACACCACTGCCTCTAGGGAAACCTTCCTCAGGCAGTCACTCTTGGTGCTTTCTCCTGGTGCCTCTTTCCTGGCACCCACCATATTGTATCGTAATTCCTGGGAGTTCAGTGCTTCAATAGAATGAGTATCTCTCATTCTATTGAAGGCATAAATTTGAAAGATTCACAAAACAAATAAAAACAGCACCGGGCTGTATTTTACGGTGTCTGCTATAGTTCTACCTGTGTTTTTGTTACATCTCCACAACCAGACTGCAACGTCTTTGGGGGCAGAGATTCTACCTCATGTCTTGGTATTCTCTGCTAAGCACACAGTACTGTATATGCTGAACAGCATCTGGGTAGATATTAGAAAAGGACTTATCAGGGCTGGGCCCCTGCACTGAGGGTCTTAAAACCATCTGAGGACTCTCTATAAACTACAATCCTTGTGTCAAGGGCAATCCTACAACTGTAGGAGCTAACTTCTCACCAAGAACTGATGAGGAGTTGCTGGGTCTCTGACTCAGTAAGCAGATAAGAACCCAAGTGTCTTAGCACCATTTCAGTTCACAGTACTGATCCCATATATACAAGGCAACTTCCTTGAAACAAACAAACAAAGAGGTTTGTACAGAGGTGGGCAGAGATGTTAGATTTTTTTAAAAAAAAGATGAGAAAGTATCTCAGCAAAAAGAACTTGGCGGGCATAGTGGCTTATGCCTGTCATCCCAGCACTTTGGGAGGCCAAGGAGGATTGCTTGAGCCCAGGAGTTCAAGACCAGCCTGGGCAACATGATGAAAGCCCATCTCTAAAACAATACAAAAATTAGCCAGACACGGTGGTGCATGCCTGTAGTCCTAGCTATTTGAGAGGCTGAGGCAGGAGGATCACCTGAGTCTGGGAGTTCGTGGCTGCAGTAAGCGGTGATGGTGCCACTGCACTCCAGCCTGGGTGACCGAGTGAGACCCTGTTCCCCCACAAAAAATTGCTTTTCTAATATGAGAGTTTATGATTTACATTTATAGCACACCTTGGATATAGGCAGGACTCTGGGAATCTGGTGGTCGGTTAGGGCCAATTTCTGAAGAAGGTTAAGTGAATTCTACAGTGATTATTTCCGAATTCTTGACAGTTGGTTAGCAGTGGTAACAAGCTGGATTACTGTCAATATTCTGTCCTCTGGTTCTGAGTAAACTCACCCTGTCTGGTCGGCTTGGCTCCCCTCCCTGTACCCAAAGCCATTTCAGAGGAATATTAGTAGATACCATTTGTTGGTTGTCATTTCTGGACGAAAGTTCAACTTGCAGGCTGCTGCGCCTGTATTTTAAATTACATTTGGGTCCTCTGATACTGGACACTGCTGTTGTCATGGACTTTTAAGGAATACAATGACAGTGAGTCATCCTATCAATCATCAGTAACAAGAAGCCACTCACCAGAGGGAAAAGTGGGTGGGTGATGGGGGGGGTTGGGGATTGCTTCTTGGAATGGATAAAATGTGCTGATTTCATTCCTTTTTCACACCTATTCTATTGTTTTCATCTATTAAGTTTGCTGGAGAGTCCCTTGTAGTGTTATGACAGGAGTTAACTATCTGTACAGTTTATTTAGACCAGCAGGTTGAGGAAAGCCTGCATTTCAGGTGGTAACAAACATTCCCTGCTAAAATTTGGGGCCTCCTGTAAAGACTTTTCAGGCACAGGTGGCTGTTTGGTTGAGGATCTAAGCTCAGCCTGGGATGTGACATCACCCCTGGGCCAAGCGAGGAGCCCACCCAGGTGGCTAAGCTCTCTCTGGGGACCTCTTTTCTTTTCTTTTTTTTTTTTTTTTGAGACGGAGTCTTGCTCTGTCGCCCGGGCTGGAGTGCAGTGACCGGATCTCGGCTCACTGCAAGCTCCGCCTCCCGGGTTCACGCCATTCTCCTGCCTCAGCCTCCCGAGTAGCTGGGACTACAGGCGCCCGCCACCTTGCCCGGCTAGTTTTTTTTTTTTGTATTTTTTAGTAGAGACGGGGTTTCACCGTGTTAGCCAGGATGGTCTCGATCTCCTGACCTCGTGATCCACCCGTCTCGGCCTCCCAAAGTGCTGGGATTACAGGCTTGAGCCACCGCGCCCGGCCTGGGGACCTCTTTTCATTCAGAGCCCCAGTATAGAAAATGAAAGGCAGGGACACTCCCCCTCTCCATCTACTTTCTTTGCTTCTGGACCCTCTGACCCCAGACAACTGATTTGCTCAAGGTAGAAATCAACCATACTCCCCTAAATGGCAGAATTCATTTGTTCCCACAGCTTGACACTTGAACCTTCATTTTGCAGTTACTTCTGTCTTGCCAATGTAGAGTACTCTCCCCCACTCGGTGGGGACTCTCTGTAGTAAAGTGTCATCTTCGTCCAGGTAGACAATCCTCCCAGAACCAGTACAGGACCTGCTACAGGTGTTCAGGATATATGTGCAGGGGAGACGCCGTGTGCCAATTATGTGCAGAAAGTTTCAAAGTCCAAGTCAAGAGAATCATGTCTTCGCCTCCCACCAGCATTTCTCCAGGAAAATGCTTGGAAAAAGGCCCCCATAAGGCCGGGCATGGTGGCTTATGCCTGTAATTCCAGCACTTTGGGAGGCCAAGGCGGGCAGATCACGAGGTCGGGAGTTCAAGACCAGCCTGATCAACATGGTGAAACCGTCTCTACCAAAAACATAAAAATTAGCTAGGCGTGATGGTGCATGTATGTAATCTCAGCTACTCAGGAGGCTGAGGCAGGAGAATCGCTTGAACCCGGGAGGCCAAGGTTGCAATGAGCCGAGACTGCACCACTGCACTCCAACCTGGGCAACAGAGCGAGACTCCATCTAAACAAACAAACAAAAAAAGGCCCTCATAGTCTGTATTTCCCAAAGTAACCAGAGCTAACCTCGAATAGATACTCAGAGCCAATCATGTGCATTACAGTGCATCGGCTTTTTCACTCCCCATTTTGCAGATGAGAAACTGAGACTTCCAGACATTAATTCAGTCAATGGCAGAGACCAGATTTGGGCCTAAGCTTTCTGCCTCCACGGCCCATGTATACCTTCTCTCTGCGAGGAGAATGTAGGATTTCAGAGCTGATAGAACTCTATGAGAGCACGGGTGAACTCCCTCATTTTCCCTCTTTGGGGAGAATGGAGCAAGAGGTGATTGCAGGGCCTGTTAGGGCCACACTGGGCTTGGAATTCAGGTGTCCCATCAGCCAAGCCAGTGTCCCCCTGGATAAACATCTCATGTGGATTAACCTTGATAAGTTCTACAGCAATAAAAGAGAAGCAGCTCCCCTTAAGGAGCACCTCCTGTAAGCCAGGCACAGACCAAGGATTTACATATGTAAATATTTCACACCAGCCCACAAGGTGGGCATTAGTCTTGCCTCTTGACAGGTTAGGAAACTCAGGCTCAGAGAGGCAAGGTAGTTAATGTAGACTTGGGGTTTGTATGCAGATTTTTCCGACTCTTTCCACCCGCTACACTAGACCTTCAGAAACTGCGGCCACGCTATGAACTTGAAGCATTTGCTGGAAGTACAGTGTTTGCATTTGCTGGAAGTGCACAGAGAACTTGCTGTATCTTGCACTGAATCATCAAGAATTCAGGGTCCACTATGTAGCCCCCCATGTTGTTTCTCTGTGGGCTTCTTGTGACACCTTCAGCCTCTGGGCCACAAAACCATGGAAGAGTTGTCTGGGCTCAAGAGAACACTAAAACCAGCTCTAATTGTAATGGAATAAAACCTTGACCATTTTCTTAGTCTTGGACTGTATACTCAGCAGCAGGAGGTCCTCCAGAAGCCAAACAGCCAGCCCTGAAAGCTAAGAAGAAAAGTCCAGTTGTCCTCTGGTTACTCCCATGCTCCTAGCCTCCTAGCCCATCAGCACAGGATGTGGGACTGGGCTCTTCACTGGCAAGCCCACATGATCCTTCTGTGGTCCATCTGGGTGGAGGCTCAGGGAGGACAAGTGCTCACCTCCCCAGACCTCTTGATGGGGATGAGGTTCCTGGGTGGTAATTTTGGTAAGTCCATGTGCCATCCACAACTGGGATTTCCCCTCTGATGGTGGGCTCCTTACATTTTAGGCTAGAATACCTGGCAGCCTTGGGTATCAGCCATTCCAAGAGGGGCCTAAGTGAGGCACCCCCCAACTGCCATTCTAATGCTACAGGTTAGTGTGAGCCCCTCTGACTTGGCCTCATTGTTCCTCACATAGCAGGAATAAGTGCCACCTCGCCTAGGGCCCTGCCCCAACCTTCTCTAGGCTAAGGGTGAGTATCAGCTGTCAGGAGGAGGGCTGCTGTCCTTGCTCAGAGGGGGCTGCCGCGTGTGGCCATACTTCAGACAGAGGGAGTGTGTTCAGGGTTTATTAGAGGGTACAGAAGAGCTGCTGGATTCCAGTCCAATCTGCGTTTAGATCTATTCATAGCTTAGGCACTTTTCTATTGTAAATCATGCGAATGATTTACAGTGGATCCTAGGTAAATCATGCAAATCTGCTGCAAAATGGAGTATTTGCCACAAATGGGCTTTGAAGGGGTATTGGTGATGAGTGAAGTACTGTTTGTGCAGTGTGAGATCCGGAGTCCTTGAAAGCATTATATTTATGTATGATACATTTTCATAGAGGCTTTCATATTCAAGAACCTTGAGCTGTCCTTGAAAATCCTGGTCTTGCAAATGCCCACAAGAATCACCCGAGGCCAACAGGGGTCGGGGGGATGCAGACACCCAAAATTCCTTCTTTGGTCGTCAACTCGGGTGGCCATGCAGTGGCCATCAATAGCTTGGAATATGCCCCTTCCTTGCCTCAAGATCTGCTGCCCATTTCACAGGGGGAACTGAGGAAGCCAATTGAATTGGACTAACTATCACTTAGGAAGCTATGGCTACTCCTCCAAGAGACCTATTTTAAGTTTCTGAGCTACATAGAGATAGAAAAATAAAAAGCAACAGTGTACGGCAAAGGGTGATTATCAGATTGCTCTGGGAACCACTGAAGGTTATGATAAAGATATAAAAGAAAGATTGAAAGATATTGGTCTGTAAGTCTCACTGAGTCAGAAGACTAGAGCGGACCTTTAAAAAAAATACTTTAGAAACACACACACACTTCAGTGTTCTCAGATAAATATGCATTCCTATCTTCGACTATATTAATACTGTTAACCTATTTTAAATTCCTATGGCACAGCAAGAGTCTTACATAGTTATAAGGTTTTTTTTTTTTTTTTTTTTTTTAATGCATGAGCTTTAAACTCATTTTCTTACTTTAAATAGATGTATATTAACTCTCCGTTTAGGCTGCAGGACCTCCCAGCTTAGTTTAACAGTCCAACAAAATAAGAGTGGATACAAACTCTGTAATTTACTCACAGGCATAAATGGATATATAAATGTAAAAATGTGCACAATCTTTTATGCCATGCTTGGTTTCATTGTGACCTAATGTTTATAATATGTAAATAATGGCTTCCTTTTAAAGCAAAGAACTATTAATATACAGACTCATCTGAAGTCCTTTTCTTTAATATAAACAGAAATAAAAAGAAAAAAGTATTCTTTTGCAATAAATAAATAACCAACGAGAAAGGTTGCCATTGAAGGAATTAAAAATGACAGAAGTCAACAGAAAACTTTCAATATCATACTTCAACTTTAATATGAAGATATTGTTATCAAAGGAAAAGACTCAAGAAATTCTTTGATAAAAATAATCTCACACTATCTTTGAAGCGGTTGCATTTATTTTACTACCCACTGTGTTTCTTATCAGAAGGCCAAGGGTATGAAGTTTCCTAGTTATGATTAGGAAAGAATCTAATAGATCAGAAGACCCAATTGAAGTTGGACATAATAAGTATTAAAGTATTACATGACATTAATCCTGCCATTCCATTACTCTCTCCATCTTTGTGCACAGACTAATTATTCCGTAGCCAGTGTTCAGGAGAAAATAGAAACATACTTACCCTGGGCTGGAGTAATCTCTTTATTGCATCAACAAGGCTGGCTCTGTACTGGTCCAGAAACAGGCTGACATTGAGAAGAGAGCAGAATCCAGATTAAACTGGGTTTTCAAGTCTAATGATACTAATGGAGATAAGTACAAGGCTAATTACACATGTTTACCCAACGCTAAAAAAGAGAAATTGTTTCCTACCATTCAAGGGTCTCACTGGAGGGGGTGGGAGGGGAGAAGATATTGTGGTCAGTGTTATCCAACTAAAGCCAAGTTGTCAACATGCAATGGGCCAGGATTCACACGTGATTGGGCCATGTGTTAATGTTACAGGGACGATTTCCAAACTGCTGTTGGGGATAGCCATCTGGTTGAGATGAAGCACTCTGGCCACTTCCTGTCATTAGAGCCTAGTCTCCCTTAGACCTGGGCCCTCTGCCCACCAAGGGTGCTGTGTGGCTGCCCTCAGACAACAAACCACCAGCCCTATGACACCCAAACCATGAAATATATCTCAGGAGGTAACAGAGTTTAGTGACTAGAAACAGCACTGAGGTTAGACTCAACCTCTGACTTAGGAGTGAACAGCTACAAAAACAAAGAATAAACTCAGACAATATATCACAGAGACCATGGCAAGTCTGGATTTTCCTCTCTGGGCCTCCACATTGATTTTTTGTTTTTTTTCTTTTCTTTCTTTCTTTTTTCTTTTTCTTTGAGACAGGATTTTGCACTGTCATCCAGTTACTGCAGCCTCGAATGCCAGGGCTCAAGCAATCCTCCCACCCCAGCCTCCCAAGTAGCTGGGACTACAGGTGTGCACCACCGTGCCCAGCTACTTTTTTTTTTTTTGGTAGAGACAGGGTCTCACTCTGTTGCCAGGGCTGGTCTTGAACTACTGGGCTCAAGCAATCTTCCTGCCTCAACCTCCCAAAGTGTGGGGAGTACAGGCACGTGCCACTGTACCCAACCCAGGTTAATGTTTTTATAGTTCACTTTGATTTTTCATTTTCCATCCCTGATCTTTAGAGAATTTCTGTTCACGCTGATCTGCCTGTCACTCCTTTGCTTGGGTCAGTCTGACTTTGTCTTCACCAGTTATTATCTTGGAAGCTTGGGACACATTTTCCTTATCTGAAATTGCATGTCCCAGACCTTTGAGTTTGGGTTGCTTGGCAGTAGGTGGCAAGTTACTTAACTTGGCCATACCTGATGCTATGGTCTGAATGTTTCCCCCAAATTCATGTGCTGGAAACTTAATCCCCAATGCAACAGTATTGAGAGGTGGGGAGTTTGGCTCCTTTTTCCCCTTCTGCCTTCCGCCACGTGAGGACACTCGTTCCTCTTCTCCAGAGGATGCAGCATTCTAGGTGCCATCTTGGCAGAAGAGACCAGATGCTCAGCAGACGCCAAACCTGCCAGTGCCTTGATCTTGGATTTACCAGCCTTCAGAACTGTGAGAAGTACATTTCTGTTCTTTATCAATTACCCAATCTGTGGTATTCTGTTATAGCAGCAGATAATGGACGAACACAGCTGGATGTTTATTAAAACCAAGGAAAGGATTCTGTGGGTGGGGTTGGGGTGGGGACAGGTGAAAGCATTGAGTGCCGAAGGCACGCAGAACAGAGCTGGCCGCCAAACACCAGGGTAGTAGTCCAGCCTCTGTAGAAGGGCTCCGGGGCATTGCTAGAGCACTCTGTCAAGAGAAAGCAAAGCTGCTAGAGGCTGCCAATGATAGCTATTGATAGGGACTTTTTTTCTGAACCCCATATTGGGATACATGATCTGATATTATGTGGGTGCAAAAGTAATTGCGGTTTTTGCCATACCTTTAATGGCAAAAACCGCAATTACTTTTGCACCAACATAGTAACTATGAACTGAGGTCATAATAACCGAGCTTAGAAAGTACAGCTGAATCTTTGAAATCTGAACAGTACTGGAATATCCAGGATGCCGAAACCATGGGGGCCGAATTGTATATACAACACCAAAAAGCAGTGATACTATTTCGATGTTTATCCCCTCCAAATCTCGTGTTGAAATGTGATCCCCAATGTTGGAGGTGGGGCTAGTGGGAGGTATTGGGTCATGGGGGTGGATCCTTCATCCGTGTCTTGGTGAACTCCCCGTGGTAATGAGCTCACGTGAGATCTGGTTGGTTGAAAGAGCCTCTCCTGTTTCTCTCTATTGCTCCTTCTCCCTCACCACGTGACTGCCTGCTTCCCCTGTGCCTTCTGCCATAAGGAAACTTCCTGAAGCAGAAGCAGATGCCAGCCATATGCTTCCTGTACAGGCTGCAGAACCATGAGCCAATTAAATCTCATTTCTTTATAAATTACCTAGCCTCAGGTGTACCTTTGTAGCAGTGCAAAATGGACTAATACAAGCAGTAAAGAGGTAAGGAAGAAGGGGGCACTATGCCTGTCCTTATGGAGGTTACAGTATAAAAGGGAGGTGAGCCAGGCACAAGGACATGCGTTAAATACAAATGGCAGAAACACACACGTTTTAATAACAAAACAGTTAATACTCACTGAGCTGAGTACTAGGTAACAGATATCCTCTAAGAGCTTTTCATAGTTCATTTAATCCTCACATCAATCCTATGAGGTAGCTTTTACTGTTAGCATTATTATTATTGTCCACATTTTACAGCTAAGGAAACAGAGGCATAGAGAGGTTTGGAGTCACACAGCTACTAATCGGCAGGACTGGGATTCACCTCTGTACCATATTGACTTCAGAGTCTGTGCTCTGAGCCACTGCTCGGTACCACCTCTCACATCTAATTGTAATTACTCCTGAGCATGAAATAATGCACAGAAGAGAGCACTGACCAGTTTAGGCAAAAGGGGGAGGTCATCAGATGACTAGAGTTAGGCGGGATTGGTCAAGAAAGCCATCCCTGTTTACTTGCATCCATAGGGATCTCTCCTTTTTCCAAGCTCAGTACAAGGAGAGCATTTGGAAGTTCTCCCAGGTTCCTGCATTTCACTGTTGTCCTCTCATCCAGCTGCTGTGCTTCTTGAAGGCAGACAGCATCTGTGTTTCTTTCTTGTGGTTTTTTTTTTGAAACCGGGTCTCACTCTGTTGCCCAGGCTGGAGTGTGCAGTGCCGTGACCTCAACTCACTGCAACCTCCACCTCCTGGGTTCAAGCGATTCTCCTGCCTCAGCCTCCCGAGTAGCTGGGATTACAGACATGTGTCACCACCCCCAGCTAATTTTTGTTTTTTAGTAGAGACAGGATTTCACCATGTCGGCCAGGTTGGTCTCAAACTCCTGACCTCAGGTGATCCGCCGACCTTGGTCTCCAAAATTGTTGGGATTACAGGCGTGAGCCATCGCACCTGGCCTCGTCTCTGCATTTCTTTGCCTCTCTCACAACATTTAGAAAAGAGCTGAGGACATAGTAGATGAAAAGGTTGATTCCTGGGGAAGAACAGCTGTGCTGTAGAGGTAGTCACTATGGTGACAGTGTATGGCTTGAGAAGTGTATGAGACATACATCTCCAGCTTTAGAGCCATCAGTTCTAGGCTGTGTCTTTTGCAAAACAATAAATACATAAAAGGACTGTTTTCTACTTAATAAAAATGGACAATTATGTCTTTTTAAAAAGCAGGGACAGCAGGCCGGGCATGGTGGCTCACGCCTGTAATCCCAGCACTTTGGGAGACTGAGGTGGGCGGATCATCTGAGGTCAGGAGTTCAAGACCAGCCTGACCAACATAGTGAAATCCCGTCTCTACTAAAAATACAAAAATTAGCCGGGCGTGGTGGCATGTGCCTGTAATCCCAGCTACTTGGGTGGCTGAGGCAGGAGAGTCGCTTGAACCTGGGAGGTGGAGGAGGAGGCTTCTGTGAGCTGAGATCGCACCATTGCACTCTAGCCTGGGCAACAGAGTGAGACTTTGTCTCAAGAGAGACCAAAAAAAAAAAAAAAAAAAAAGAAAGAAAAAGCAGGGACAGCAAAACTGCATTTGAAACCTCTGAACTCAGAACACCATTTCAAATGCATTTGTTTGGAAAGTAATATGGAAAACTGTTCCATTCACAACTTGAATTTCTTCTCTAACAGTGGGTCCCTTACCTTAAGCTAGAACACTCAGCAACCTTGTGCATCAGCCATCTCCATGAGGGGCCTAAGCAAGGCCCCCTACTCCCATTTCTAATGCTGCAGGGCAGTCCCCTCTGATTTGGCCTCCTGTCTCTTCACACAGCAGCAGTAAGTACTATCTACTCTAGGGCCCTGCATCATTCTTTTTAGCTAAGGGTGAGTATCAGCTGTCAGTGGGAGGCCTGCTGTCCTCAATCAGAGGGGGCTGCTGTGTGGAGCTACACTTCAGACAAGCGAGGAGCTTGGTTCAGGGTTTTAAAGAGCTCTGGCTTTGATGTTACTGCCATGTGACTTTGGGCAGGTCACTTCATGTGAAGCCTGTTTCCTTGTCAGTAAGCACCCAACTATATGACTATGTGGACATGAAATTAATAAGATATGTTAGTTGATAAATATTTGTTGAGCATCTACTATATACTAAGGGAAAATTTAGGCACTGGGGATTAGCTGCGAATAAGACAAAGTTCCCATCCTCAAGGAGCTTCCATTCTGTCTTCATTTTGCTTTACTATTAATAGTTCCAGCACAGCATACACACAGAAGGTGCTCAATACATGGTTACTTGTGGACTCACTGGCAGATCATCACAGTTCTTGGAATCGAGGAGCTTATGTAGGGTGTTAGTTTCAATGTCCCTAAAGTTCATACTCCTTTGAACTGATATTGTCAAGGATGAATCAACTTTCAGGTAGGATGTTTCACCAGACTAGGTTCTCTTCCAATTTGATGATTTTCTCCTCTGAGGAGAGCAGCTTATAAGAAGTTTCCAAAAAGTCATTGCTTGAGTTTCTTTGGTTACCACAGGTTCCATGGAAGGTTCTTCTATGGAAGGTCGCTTTGAGCAATGGAAAAATAATCCTCAGATGGGCTAGAAACCATGTCCAGAATGGAACCTCATCCCACTCCATCCATCACTCAGGATGACCTGAGTATTACCCATGGAAAAACTTTA